CTCCACCCTTAACCCAGAATTCCAACTTACAAATTATTCATTTCTATTACAGCCCTGGTTCCCAAAATGATAGCCTTGCACCCTTCGGAAGGCTGACGCGGCTCCTCAAGGACGCACTGCACGGTGCCCATCACCAAACGACTCCTTATTTGTCCTAATTATGTTTTCTTTATGGATCATAAAGAGATTTTAAGTCCCACTTTGATATTATGAGAAGAACTGATTAACACTTAACCAATGGATAAAAGTGGCTTTGTAACCTGGATGCTGGGTCTATACCACCCAAATCTAAATCCCAAGGAATCAGAGTTTTGGTGTGCAAAAGCGTTTCCTTGGACCTCTAACTTTTATAATAAACAGTACCTCAAAACAACGGAGGGGGCGTACGGGAGAAAACACAGAAGAGGCGGACGTCAGAGAGGAGCCTCATCAACTGGACGAGCGGTACCGACAGGGCCGGGCTTTACTGCTGACCTTCACTGTTGCTCTCAGCACCTGCTTATGCTGGGGGTGCTGGCTAACGAGGAACTTACTGACTGGTTTCGTCACTTGAAACCTTCCCAAACCTCCTATGTGTAGAGGACTCACTGCCGCGAACACGGTGACCACAGTCTTGTATAAATGCAGACACCTTTCAACTGAAATGAGGAATCTGTGTTGAAAGCAACAGCATACGAATGCACATCCTTTATTACTTTGGAAAAACTCACCTAAGAATGAGGTTTCATCAACCAAGACTGAAAATACAAAAGGAAAGGAAAAGAAAAACAGTTTTAAATTTTAAGTGTTGTTGACCTGTAAGACGTTCAGGAGAGAGCTCATCTGTTACGCAGTTGTGAGGGATGCCTTATTGTGGGAAGATAAAAACAAACAGGCCTAGATCCATTAAAAGACACTCAGGCCCGACTTTTCCCATCACCACAGACTCCCACAAGAGACAGGGACAGCCCACTTGACTTTAAGAACACTCGGGATTCAGTACGAGACTCAGCCTGGAGTTTCTAACTGGACCCGTGACCACTAAGACACTTGGGCTAATCCACCACTCAAGATCCCATGACAGCCACTCAGGAACAGCTACAGACGCGAGACTCAACTCAAAGCACCAGGGAGAGGAAAAGACTGAAACGATCAGAAAGCCAGCAGAAATCCTCCTGAGCACGTCCCTGGAAGGCCTGAGTCCCCGGCGACGGCCCTCGTTAGCAGGGGGAGGATGGAGTGGCTGCCTCAGTGCCCGAGTTCAGCAGTGACAAGGAAGCGAAGCCTGAGAGAAGCCATTCAGTCATCACGTAAATCGGCCATGAGAACGGACTCGGGGAGTAACGGTTTGGGCTGTACACAGCAGACACCACCGGGGATTTCAGTGCTCATGCCACGTCACACTACGGTGCAGATTCCAGACATCCGATGGAAAGACAATGGCGAGTCCACATTCTTCCGAAGGCTGCACCTCCCACAGAGACCACGCCAGACTCCTCAAGCATGATCCGCAGTCAAATTTTAGACTGAAATGGCAGAACCAGATCATCAAGAAGGAAGCCTGGAACACACCCAGATTAACAGCATTAAAAGTGCTTGGTACAACACAACTCCAGGAGGCAGGTTCTATACAGCCGAATGCCCGTGAGAGTCCTGTGTGGCTGGGGAAGGAAGCCGTGCACCAGCGCGTAGCAAACTTCCACTGACACAATAAAGCTGTACGGCAGACCCCACGGAGCAGAGCTAAGCAGTTGAGGCTTATAGGGGATTTGCTGCTCATGCAGCCCAATCAAGCTCGCTTCTCAGGCAAGGAAACCAGGTCCCAGGGAAGTCGCTCAGATGATCTAGGCTGGGTTTAGGACCAATGTCTAACTACTCTCACTCGATCAGCTTTCTCTAAACACGTTTTCTTAAGTCATTGACATTGTTCGCTGACTCGTCCAAGGATGGAAAAACCCTGGGACTCCTTCCTTCCGCCACCCTCCAGGACTGAAAGCCAACCAAGCTAACTTTGTAGTAGGTCCCTGGAAAAGTCCAGATTCTCAAAGGTGAACAGAGGACCCAGAGCCACTAAAATGTCTCTGCAAAAGCAGTGTTTCGTCTCCAAATCCTCTCCACAAACGATCGTAGGAGTCGCAGCTCACCAGAGAAAGGGGTCTGAACCCATCAAATCAGTGGGACGGTGCCAGAAGTGAAGAGCCTCGGCAAAGCAAAGTCTGCAACGTTCAATAGAGGGAGAGCTCCGCCGGCCTCAGGAAGCTTGGTCCCAGAAGCTCTCAGGTGCCGAGAACAACCCTGGGTGCAGGACCTATGAATCCAGGACCACTGCTTTTAAAGGTCACTGCTACGTTTAGATTCAGTTTTCCCAACGAGCTGGAGGGAAAATGTCATCTGTGGACCAGGATACAGAAAATCCGGGAACACGGAGCTGAGTGATGGGCTAAGGGGGACTCTGCCCGCCTTCCTGGAACAGCTGGACCCCACGCTGCATGACAGAGACTGCACAGCCCAGAAATCTCAGGCCTGGTTCAGCTTCTCAGGAGGATTCTGCCACTAGTAGAGACTTCTGGTTTCTGCCTTTTATAGTTAAAGCGTTTCTGATGGTGATGTGGTTGCTAAGACCATCAGAACAGCAAATGCTGGACTGAAGATGGAGCACAGGAAAAGATCAAAGCAGCAAGTTAGGTTAAAAGACATTTCTGTAGTAAGTAGAAAGCAGGCCAGACTAGCTGCTTTAATTCCAAGTGTGACAAAGTTGGATTTGTTACCTTTTTGAAGCTGACAGGAGGCAACTTATTACATGGTTTCTAAACAATACAATTGAGCCCATTTAGCACTCAGGCTAACAAAAGACTACAAACTAAACTCAGATTTTTAACAAACCTCATAGATTACCAAACTTTTGAATATCCAATTTATGTATTAACGATGTCACTGACTAAATGGGTAAGCTTCACAGGGAAAGATAAAAAACATAAGTTCTAGAACATACAAATTCATTTTGTTTCAATAAATTCTCTAAAGTGCCATTCAGACCAAACAGACACGTCACAGAAGCCCAGCATTCCTGCTGTTCACATTACTAAACTGTTTGCAGCTGAGTAGTGATACGGATTATTCAGGTTATTTTGAAATAAACTTATCATTTAAAATAAGCACAATAACGTTCTACCACTTCAACAGCAAAAGAAACTTAAGGCAATTAATCTGTCCTTGAAGAATCACATATTGACTGATTCATGCTTCCCCATAAGACATCAAAAGTATGTGCCCAAACAATGGCACAAGATGGTTGAAAATGAAAATCAAAATGAGTCAGTGTGTGAAAGTGCTGGATAAGCAATTGAATCATAACATACTGTAAGCCAGCAAAAGAACAGTTAAATCCAAGCACAGGGAAACTTGGCATGGAAAAGGAGACGGGGCACCCTCGGAGGCTTGGCGCCTAATCCCAGTTCAACCACTGAGTAACTGTAACCTCACAACCCAAGTCACGAACACCACCAAGCCCCCACGTTCTCAGCTGGAAAGCGACAGAACCGGGCTGTGTGGAGCTTTCTAATTCAGCAGGTAGCATCACCTCTGTAGACCTGTGTGCAGAGCACCACAGAAGAAACAAGATGGAGACACGTTTTGTTCGTCGTTTGGCAGGCTCCTGCGCTGAAGCCAATCCCAAGTCGTCTCCCAACAACGCACACACAGCTAATGTGAGCACGAGCTGGAATTGGAAGCAGGTGGCCCCGGGGAGTCCAGTGCCCAGTGGACGTCTACCCGGGCAATGGCGTGGAGCCAACCCCCTAATGGTGGGCATGCGGCCGTTTCCAAGCGAGGAAGGCGGTCAATCATTCAGCGCACGTACTAGCCCAAAGGCACTGCTCTTCCTGGGAGTGACCAGCGCAAGGAGCAGAAGGAAAAACCCCTGGCCTCGCGGAGCTCACACTGTGGTTGGCAAAGATCAACAAACTCTGTGAGTCAACCGTAGGGCACATGAGAGTGGTGAGTGCTGGGCAGAGAACCGGACAGAGGGCGCGTGCGCGGGGATCCCAGCTGCACTTTTTACTTCGGGGAGGCCAACCAGTGGCACTTGGAGACCACGCCAAGCATGCACGTTGTAGAGCGGAAGGCTCTGATAAGGTGACAGGCGCACGGCAATTCAAACTCCATTCCAACAGACTTCCCCGCGCCCCTTAAACCCACCGGGCTGGAATTCCTCTGTATCTACGAAGCAGGGCCGGGGGGAGCCACAGTACTGGAAGAGAGGTTAGAACGCAGGCTGTGTGCACAGTCCCGCCGGGACAAGGCACTAAGAACGCAGCACGCATCGTTTTGCCTTTCCCGATCCGTCGATTCCGAAGCCATTCTCTGCCATTAGTCTATATTTAACCAGCTTACGGGGCAGTTTCTCCAGCGTTTCGCTTCCCCCCCACCCCACCCCCGCCCCACTCTCACGAAAAAGAGCAACCCAGTTTGCAAGAACGTTGCTAAAAGGTAGCAGCCTCCTACAAGATCGGCTACACTCGGGTCGACGCGGTCTTGGCAACCTTTTAATTAACCCGGTTAGTCGAGCTGTCAAATCGCGTTAAGCCTCGCGTCTCGCAAGTTTTTAAAAACGCGCGTGAGCCGCCGGACCCTCCCGGTGCGCCGTGCCCGTGGCCGGGGGTCCAGAACCCCGGACGGCTCCCTCCGAGGCGCGAGCACCGGGCGGGGAAGTCGCGGGGGCCCGGGGCGCGCTGCCCGTCCCCAGGGGACGACCCAGCCCCGGCTCGCGCGGTGGGCCCGGCTCCTCCGCCGGGAGGGCGCGCCCGGCCCGGCCCAGCCCACCGCGCGTCGGGGCGGAGGCGCGCGGCCCGCAAACTTCAGCCGGGACCCGCCGGCCGGCCGGGCCTTCTCGGGCGCGGCCCCGCCCGGCTCCCGAGCGCCGGTGCCCGGGCCGGGCGGCGTCTGGGAGGGCCCGCGGGACTAGTAGGCCCGGGCCCGGGGCCAGCCCGGCGGGGCGCGGGGCCCCGGAGACCCCGCCTCACCTGATGTAGGGGCTGGCCGCCGCCAGGATGTTCTTCTGCACCGGGATCTCCTCCCCGTCGAGGACCAGGTGCGCGTCGCAGAAGCGGGACTCCTCGCGGAAAGAGCTGAGCGCTCGCAGCAGGCGCGCGGCGTGTTGAGGGTCAGACACGGCGCTGCCCTCGGCCATCGCGGCGCCCGTTTCCCCGCCGGACGGACGCCGCCCGGCCCGACCCGACCCCTCGAGCTGCCCGCGCCCGGCGCGCGCCCCGTCCGCACACTCGGCGCGCGCGCGCGCCCGCCCGGCCCCGGCTCTCGGCGCTCCGAGCACCAGCGGGAGCCCCCGGAACGCGCCTGCGCCATCCGCGGCGCGCGGAGCCGGCGCCTTTAAGGAGCCGCGGCGTGGCGTCATTTCTCCGCGACGCCCCCGCGTCGTCGCTCCCCTCCCATCGCCCCCCGTCGCCGGAGGCGGCCAATCAGAAGCCTCCGTTCCCCGCCCCGGCGGGCGGCGGGGGGGCTGGCTGCGGCGCGGCTGCGACGGGGCGGCGCGAGCCGGGCTGACGGTGGTGGCGTGCGGCCGCCTGTGGGCTGTGGAGCCGGGTGTTTGAACCCGAGTCCCGGCCGTGGGTAAAGCCCGCGGACACCAGCTGCCGCTTCCGTTACACCGAGTGGCACCCGTAGCTGCAGCTTTCGTCATTTAGGAGAGAGAAGGGGCTTCCCGGGGGAGAAGGGAGACCCTGAAAAGATGGTTGAGGTCGCCGGCTGGGGAGCCCCTGCGTTGTGCTGCCCTTCCCCTCCCGCTCGGCTCGGCGGAGGTCCTGTGGGTGCTGGGAGCCGCGGGCGGCGTGTAAGCAGGGGTTACAGGGAGCCGGCCCGGCCGCTGGAGGCGAGCTGGGGTGTGCGTGCTGAGGGCGGACGCTGTGTCCACACGGCGCGGTGCCCGGGAGAAGGGAGGCCGGCAGCGGGCCGCCGTGAAAGGCAGGTGGAACTGGGGACTCGGGGAACGCCCAGGGGCTGGGAGGTCGGGGTCCCGAGGTCCGGATGCGCTCGGCCGAGATGAAGGCAGTGACCGGAAGTGGCCATGAGTCAGCTCGTGCCCGCCGAGCAGGTGTCCTGCCTCCACGGAGCCTCCTTCACCCCACTGTGAGGCCCCGAGGAGGTCTTCACCCCGCGCCGGCCCACGCTGGAGAGGCACCGACGGGAATCGGGAACGGCCGCTTTCTCGGCGGAAGGATGCGACTTGGGGCAGAGCCGAAGGTTCCCAGTTCTTCCTCACACGCAGCTCGGGGTTGATGGATGCAAAAATTACAGTGTGTAGGCTTTGCTTTCAAGGGGCAGCGGGGGTCAGAGGTGACCGGCTGTTGAGGCCGGGAGATGGGCGTGTGGAGGTTGGTGGTTCTGTTCTCAGTACTGTGCATGTCGAAAAACATAATAAAAAATAAAGCACAAGGCAAGCACCTGTCTGCTCCGGGATTCCTGCCCAGCGACTCCGGGAGCCGTTGGCGCGCCTTTCTCCAAGGAGCTGCTGTACTTTGAACGCTGCTCGGGCCGGAAACTCGCTGCGATGACTTTATGCAGGCCGCCTCCTAGCTTGTATGTTCATTGTCTCTTGGCACCACTCGCCGGCGCCAAGCCCAGTGCTGGGCACACAGTGGTGCTCACTGAATGTCAGATGGAGGGAACTGTGACTATAGGCGCTTAATAAATTTTTTCTAAATCAGTTATACACATTATTTGTGGTTTTTTTTCCCTCAAGTGGATTGTCATTAGAGTCAAAAACGACATATGGCAGGGAAAGTTCACTGCAAAATGTAGCTACTTGAAAATATGACTGCGGGGGCTGGCGCCCTGGCCTGAAGTGCCGGCATCCCATATGGGCGCTGGTTCGAGTCCCGGCTGCTCCACTTCTGATCCAGCTCTCTGCTATGGCCTGGGAAAGCAGTAGAAGATGGCCCAAGTCCTTGGGCCCCTGCATCTGCATGGGAGACCCAGAAGAAGCTCCTGGCTCCTGGCTTCGGATCGGCACAGTTCCAGCCGTTGCGGCCATTTGGGGAGTGAACCAGCGGATGGAAAACCTCTCTCTTTCCCTCCCCCCCCCACTCCTCTCTGTGTAGCTCTGACTCTCAAGTAAAAAAAGATAAATCTTTAAAGAAAGAAAGGGCACCGCGGCTCACTAGGCTAATCCTCTGCCTGTGGCGCTGGCACCTGGGTTCTAGTCCCGGTTGGGGCGCCGGGTTCTGTCCCAGTTGCTCCTTTTCCAGTCCAGCTCTCTGCTGTGGCCCAGGAAGGCAGTGGAGGATGGCCCAAGTGCTTGGGCTCTGCACCCTCATGGGAGACCAGGAGGAAGCACCTGACTCCTGGCTTCGGATTGGCGCAGCGTGCCGGCCATAGCAGCCACTTGGGGGCTGAACCAACGGTAAAGGAAGACCTCTCTCTCTAACTCTGCCTGTCTAGAAAAAAAAAGAAAGAAAATGCTGAGTGTGGAGTGCTACGTCTTCCACCAGGGTCAGATGGCCGGCCATCCTGGAGTGGGAGGGCTGAAGTAACTGGAGGAGGGTGGGATTAGTCAGCCTCCTCCGGGCACACGTGGACCTGCGGTTATTGACAGAAGGAAACAACGAGAGGACCGGGCCGGAGGCTCCTGGACAGACCTGTGTAGGCCAGGAGGAGTTGCTGGCCTGAGGGGGCCGGAGGGCAGGACACCTGTACCGTTCTGCCACCCCCGCGGTTTGCATGGTTTGCGCCTCCATCGCGTGGTGAACTCACTCTTCCTGTAGCTCAGCCTCGACCCCCGCAGTCAGCTCCCCTGCGCTGTGTCCATGCCTGTGTGCTGCACCTGCCACACCGCACCACCATTTGTTGGTTAAAAGTCTTCCCCTAAGCTCCTGCGTCCTCTCATGTCCCCAGTGACTGGTGCTTGATGGGAGAACCCTGAATGCGTCACATAATGAGCTAGGGGTGGGAGTCAGGTACATGACCAAAGCAGAACGGGATTTGGGGTGTCAGACCATAGGGGTGAGGTGGTTATGGGGAACTGATGGCTCTGTAGGGTAAGAGTCCAGTGGTACCAGATCTGACAGTTCTTCAACAGAGTGAACAGTCAGGTTTGTCAGTATTAACACATTCCATTTGGAGACTGAAGAAGCATGGGCTGCAGACAGCATCTGGCTTTAATTCATTTTAGAGGGAATCAGGGAGCCATCTTGCTTTGCCAGTAGGAAGTGTTGAGTTGGGTTCAGGTGCCCTGGGGAAGGAAGAGGGCCCAGGTGTGGGAGGGAGGATTTGGGAGGCAGAGCCGGCCTCCCACTGCTGCAGGAGCCACTCCCGTGGAGCCTGGGACTGTTTTGAAGCCTTTCTTGATATTGCTCAAACCAAGCCGCCCTTGACATTATGGCCAAGAGAGTGGGGAATATCATGTTATTGTTCCCCCACATTCCATAGGTGTCAGAAATCAGGTGCCATTGTGCAACGTCATCTAAGAGATGTGATAACATCTTGGCAGTTTCAGTCTCAGAGAAAGGGTTTTGTTTTATCTGAGAACCAAAAAGGATGTTTGCAAGAGATCAACAGTAATCACTCACTCGACAAGTGTTTAGACACCTGCCATCTGACGTGCTGCGGGCACAGGGACACTGACGCTACCATGCGAGTGGTATTAGAGACTTTTGCTACCTTTGCACTTTCCCCCATTTGTATTTTCTGCATGAGCCATGTGCCCTTTTTACAACCAGGAAAATAAAAAACAAGAAAGCAATTTCCATTTGCAGAAAGAAGAAGGTTCTCTTGCTTTGAAAAACGAGTCAAGAGACGGATGCCCTTGGGGATTTGGACTTTCACAATAAGAGAGAGAGGCCAGTAAAAGCAGTACTGAACGGCAGGGGAACAACTCACAGTTTGAAAACTTTTGGGCCGGCGCCGTGGCTCACTAGGCTAATCCTCCGCCTTGCGGCGCCAGCACACCGGGTTCTAGTCCCGGTCAGGGCACCGGATTCTGTCCCGGTTGCCCCTCTTCCAGGCCAGCTCTCTGCTGTGGCCCGGGAGTGCAGTGGAGGATGGCTCAAGTGCTTGGGCCCTGCACCCACATGGGAGACCAGGAGAAGCACCTGGCTCCTGCCTTCAGATCAGCGCAGTGCGCCGGCCGCAGCATGCTGGCCACGGCGGCCATTGGAGGGTGAACCAACGGCAAAAGGAAGACCTTTCTCTCTGTCTCTCTCTCTCACTGTCCACTCTGCCTGTCAAAAATAAAAAAAAATTTAAAAAAATTAAAAAACTTTTTAGAACTCTCACCTCAAATCCAACATCCATGTGCGTGAAACCTGAGTGAAGGTCGCACGCGGCCCAGCAGGGCCCACGCAGACCGAGGCGCAGCCCTTCTGCCTTCCAGCCCTGTAAGCTTTTCCATGACACCAACCTGACTCTTCGTAAACATTAATTTGGTCGAGACCGTCTCTTCTGATTCATCTTGAGGTAGTCCTCAGACATTTTATTGGGTAGGTCTGTCATGTGTCCAAATCTAAATATAGTTCTTTTGTTTCCGAAAAATCAAAGCGCTTCCAAATCGCTGAGTCAGAGAACCTCTCCGTGCCTGCAACGTTGGCTCTGTATGTTTACAGTCGCCAGAGAGGTGTCTTGGGCACCAGTGCACTAATTAACTGGCCACGATGCTCCACGGAGTGAGTGACCATCTCTGTCCAGACCCCGCACCCAGCACGACGCCGGACACACACAGTAGGGGCTCAGTAAGTACCTGCCGCATACAGGGAGGAAGGACTCTTCTCTCCACAGAGAGCACCTCAGAGCTGCTGTCCCCGCGTCCCCGCGTCCCCTCCAGCTGCTGAGCTGGCGGCCCCTTGGCATCCCCAGGCACGTGTCCACAGACGCCAGGAAATCAACTCCTGACTATCCCTGGCATCTCACCGTTCCCCAGGCAAGTGGGAGCGCCATCATTTCCCCACGAACAGGAACCTGGGGTCATGCAGCCTTCATCGCATTCAGCGAGTCCTGCAGCTTCTAGGCAGGCCCTCCTCAGTGTGCAGCTGCTTCTAGAAGCCTCCACCAACAGCCCCTGACCTAGCACCATTCGACTCCTGCAGCAGCCTTCTCACCCTACCCTGCTCTTCTCTTGCCCCCTTGTGGATTCTTCCTCCCCATAAGGCAATAAGTCAAGCTGCTTCCTCATTCAAAACCCTCCATCAAAATCAAGGAAAAAAAAAAAAAAAGCTAAAGTCCTTACTGTGGCCTACAAAGGCCTGTGGAATGTGACCTCTGTCTCATCTGTGACCTCATTGCCCGCCACATCCCCCCTCTCAGTGTGTGCCAATCAAACTGGCCTTCTTGCTCTTCCTTGAGCAGAGGCCTG